CCACTATCAAGGAGATGGAGCAGAAGTGGAACAGCTGGGACTGGAACTGGCGTACGTATGGGCAGAGGATTAATCTGAAATGCCGCCGCCGCAGTCCCGTGGAGCTGTGTATTTGTACCAAGCTCTCAGGTGATGCCTCTGCTACCACCAGTCTGGGGACTTGGAAGCTCAGGATCACAGGCTCTCTGTAGCTCCCCGACGTTTGCCTGTCTGTTTCAGTCCTCTGTACGCTCACCACCTCCAGCCAGACACACCCTCCTTGCCCTCCTCACCCCGCTTGTCCCTTCCCCACAAGCTCTTGAACTTACCTTGCTCGGGGCAAGCAGCACCCAGCTTGCCTCCATTGGTGTCCCGCCTGGCCACTGGCCTGCGAACCCCTGGACGGCAGGCCCTGTGCGCTTTATGTCTGTGTCCCTAGTCCCTGGCAGGTAAGGATACAGTCATGTGTTGCTAGAGTGAGTGATGGGTGAGAAAACCAACTGGCCTTGGCATCAGGTAGCCCGGGCTGGGTGTTGAGGGCGGCTGAGTGTGTCTGCGCTATCTATGGATGCTGGAGAAGTGAATGACCTCATTAGAACCCAAGGCAGCTGCAGCCTGTCTGGCATCTCTTTGGTCAAGGAGTTTCTATATAAGAGACACCAACCTTGAAGCCATGGGTGGTGCTGGGAGCAGCCTTTCTCAGCAGAGAGAAGGGATGTGGATCCACCTGCTTCAGAGGCCTGGTCTATACCCAGGCTTTTAAGCCTCCTACCCACCCGCTGAGGACAGGGGGTGGGTCACTCGGTTTTACTAATGAGGAAGCCAAGGTCAGGGCAGGTGCCAGCTCTCGGTTCCAGGGTGGCAGAACTGGGACTCACAGTGAGTCCTGCAGTTCTGGGCCCAGGGATGCCTCCAAGCTCTGGGTCTCAGAGTGTCATACAAGATGGGCCACGAGTTAGAGCTCCGTGTGTTAAAATGGGATTTGGTCGGCTACATGGGCTTTGTCTTTTCTAATTAGGGCAGAGAGTTGGAAACATTTTTTTTTTTAAATAATAGAATTTACTTCCAAGATAAATTATGAAGATTTAGGATTCACTCTCAGATTTCGCTTCTGGGCTGCCTTCCATATAGTTTGCAATCCCAGAGATGCCACAGCTATTTTAGGTTTTCCTCTTTGAAGATCAGAATCCACTGACTTTCTTAGTTTTACAAGCACATGAACTCACGACAAGCCGCGCGAAGGCAGCACAGCTCTTGGGATTTTGACAAACCTGGACGTGGTAAAGACTGGCCTGGGACTCACCAGATAGAGTGAGGATCATTTCAGAACACTTGGCTTCGTCTTAAAGGCCGAGCCTCTGGAAGCGGGCTCCCAGCTCTCCATTCACTTTCCTGGAATGTTACCGAGGGATGCTGCCCAGTTCCAAGTGAGAGTAGGGGCCTTGGATGCCTGCTCATGTTCTGGAAAGGAGAGCCAGCTCCTTCCCGCATGGGGCTTGGCAAGGCCTTGACCATCCCTGTCACCCTGGCCTTGCTGGGCCAGCTGACTGCTCTGCCTCATGGGGTCGTGGAGAATCCTGCCATCAGAAGACACAAACCTGCAAGACTTCCTCTCCCTGCCTTATGCCAGCGTTCAAGGTTGCCTTGGTCCCCCCGGGTCCTGACTCACGGCTGCTTTGGCAGGTAATGGGCATCCCTGCCTTGGTGAGCGCTTTTTGACAATTCCTCTTTTTCCCACATTAGTGTTTGGGTCGGGAAGCTCAGAGGGTAGGCAAAAGAGTCTGGACTGGCACTGGTGTGAGAGATTTTTAAAACAGAAGGCCCGATTTTGGGGAAAAGTTAAAAAAAAAAAAAGACAGGGAGTAGGCGTGGAAGGCCTACCTCAAGACAAACATAGCGAAGGCTTCTGAACTGCTCTGCTTCCCCCACATTGCCCTCCCGTGCCGGACGCCAGCAGCCATGGCTGTGGGCTTACGTCTTTGTCATTGCATTCTCATAGCCGCCCCAGCAGGTGAGACCTGCTTGCGCCCCATTCTACAGGAGAAGGACCTGAGGTACATCTTTGGTCCAGAGGTGAGATGGCAAGTGGGCCGTGCGGCCCGATGCTAACCTGAGCATTTTGACCCAGCAGCCCTTGAATTGCAAAGTCCCATGCAAGGCAGAGAGAAAAGGCAAGGATGTCATGAGCCCGCTAGCACCACATAATCTGTGAACTTGGCTGAAACACGTGAGCTCCTTCTAGCAGTGGGAGGGGCGACGAGGACCAGCAGTCTCCGTGGTGGCAGTTCTGTCTGGAGAGGTGCGGCAGCCGTGTCACGGCACCCGTCCCAGGGGTCCTAGAGGCAGTCCACGTGCACAGGGAAGGATCCTGGCTGGCACGTGGAAGAGCAATTCCACAGATGTGCAGTGAAGCAGGTGACACTGCCCAGCTGCAGCATTTCACTAAAGAAAAACCACATGTGACCCCATGGGGACACAGGCTGGCTTGCTAGGTTCGTCGCCGAGGGCTCAGATGTCCCATGGCCCAGTTTCTCCCAGAACCTCGGGTCTGACACGGGAAGATGTCCTGACTGGCTGGTGGCTTTGGATCAGGCATGTTCTTAAGCACAACGCTTCCCCCAGAAGCGCAGAAAAGTAGAATTAGTTCGGCCTGCCTGGATGACCTGGCGCTATGTCCTCTTGGGCTCCAACAGCAGGGCCTTAACTGAACAGACTGCATCGTCGCCCCCATGGCCTGGAACAGCTTCTGCTCACGTTCTGTCCATGTGTCCGGGTTCTCATGTCACGGTGTTAACGAGGGAGTGCTTGGGGTCAGTTCCCACGTGTGCAGCGTGTGCATCTTGCCTCGCCCACGCTCTTCCCTGAGTCAGCTTCTTCATCAGCCCAGACTGACACGCGACTGCCACCCGTCACCAGGCTGCTCTGTGGGCGAGCCTGGCATGATATGGGGTCTGGGCTGGGGTCAGCATGCAGTGAGAAAGCTGTTGGACGGGAGAGTCCTTTCCTACGAGGAATGTCCCCTGCTGCAGGGGAGCCGCCAGCGGCTCCTTCCTGGCCTCTGGCCCACCCCTCGGTACTTTCGCTTTTCTGAATGATATTCTTCAAGTGTGATGTTCTAAAGTTCCAGTGGGGAACATCTGGTTCCTGGGCCATGCAAGGCTTGGCAAATCATGGCAGCCGCTGGCAAGGTCCAACCCTCAGTACATCTAGAGCAGGCTGACCATGTTGTGTAACCTTGTGAATGATGGCATCGGAGCCAGGGGCCCTTTGCAGACAAAGGCTCCTATCCCTGTTCAAAGAATGGAAAGCGAATGAACACCCCTGATTTTGTCAGTGCTCTCAGTGCCACTTGGAGTTCAGTCAGTCTGACGAGTGTCTGGCATCATTGGACATACTCGGGCGCCGAGGTGGATGGAGGTGGATGGAGGGGCTGCACCCTCCACTAAACGGCTCTCCCCCACACACGGCCAGGCCCCAGGCGTCAGCAAGAAGCCCCAAGATTGTATTAAATACTATGGTGCTGCACTGTTGTAAACTTGAATTCAAAATTAAAAACACCCTCAATTTGACCCATTACAATGTGTATTTGGAATGCGTGCAGAATCATCTTGCCTGCTTCATTCCAACCTCACTCTTTTGGGGTTGGGGTTGTGATGTATCAGGTTAAGCCCCACCTGTAGCACCAGCATCCCTCACGGGGGTGGGTTCAAACCCCGGCTGCTCCACTTCTCATCTAGTTCCTTGCTAATGGCCTGAAGAAAGCAGCAGAGCACGGCTGAAAAGTTTGGGCCCCTGCCACTTCTGTGTGGGAGACCCAAAGGAAACGCCTGGCTTTGGTCTGCTCTAGTTGGGGCCATGGCAGCCTTTTGGGACAGTGAACCAGCAGAAGGAAGCTTTCTCACTTTCTTTGTAACTCAAATAAATAAACAAATCCTTAAAAACAAACAAACAAACAAAAAACCCCTCGTTCCTACTGAAGAATTCTTTAAAAAGAGAAATTAAACATGAGGATTCTTGTCCCTGATTCCGTGAGGAGCAAGATTTGGACCTTTGGCCCTGAAAGGATATCATTTCAGAACCCACTCTGGGTTGGACCATCACCGGCAGTGGCTAATCTGATTCAAAGCTGCCAGTTTCTAAGCATGCATTGAGATCTCACTGGACCAGCAGTGGCATGAGGAGCTATGCCTGGGCAAGGAGGGAGTTTTCATGAATCAGTGCTATTGATGAGTTCTTGCTTTGGATCCTTGCTATTCGAGTGCCAAACGGCAGGCAAAGGTCCTGCCACCCCGATTACCCCAGCGCCTCTCTGATCACCACCCAGCGCCAGGGTGGCGGCTCCCAGAGGAGGTGGAACTGGTCCCACGGGATGCTGGCTCCCATTGGGGCTGAGTCCAAAGGCTGGCTCTGGCCCCTTTCTGTGCCGGATGGGCTGGCTAGCCCCTGCCCCGAGCGGGAAGGCTAGTTTTGCTTCAAAGGCAACCAAAGAGTGAATTATTTACCAAACTGCACAAAAGGAAGGATTTATCAAGCTCCCTTTCTTCCAGGGAGGCCAAACCCAGAACCGGACGACTTTATTACTCTCGCTTGCTGGCTTTCTATAAATTGGGCCATTCAGATGTCTTTGAAAGCGTGTCCTCACGCTTTAGCCCGAGTCATAAAACTTGGTACCTGGAGCCAAACGCCTTCATCCTCCCCTTCCCCTCCAAGAAGGGTGGAGAAGAGGAAAAGGCAGTGATTCTGGGCAGCGCCACGCAAAGCAGGTGACCCACGGGTGGGGACGAGCGGGGAAGTGCAGGAGACAGCTACTCGGCATCACTTGGGTCTCCTTGACCCTGGGTTTTACTCTGAAATTGTCTTTATGGCTTGAACAGGATCCTTCCTCTTGGCACACCCGAGTCAGCCAGTTGGGAAAGGCTGGATTTAACTACCACCACCACCCACCAGTTTGCTTGTTGCGTCACCTCTAACACTGGGGTCTCTCCCAGCCTGGGAGTGCCTCCGGGGGAGCAACCACTCACCTGCAGGAGGTTTGCTGGGGCCTGTTTTCTCTGGCCTCCGTGGGGTCATGGTGCTCTTGTGTTTCTGCTTGACTGACGTCTGGTCGATGGCTGGCAGTTTGGAGTCACACTTAGCCGTAGGTATCTTGGGGGACGACTTCGGTTCTATTAGAGGCTCCTCCTCACCAGAACTCTACCAAAAACCAAAGGAGTCTGAATGTCAGTGGTCAAGTAGGTCACCTCTGCGAGGCAGAGGGAGAAAGAGAGACACAGAGGCAGTGACCCCATCCAGGAAGAATAACCCTGACGCACGTGGCCATCCTGGGTCCCACTCCACCAGGGGAGATACCGAGGGGGCTGGCATATCAGCCAAAGTGGGGCTGGCAGGTGGTGCAGCCGGCATGTGGCCACTTGGGACACCCACAGCCCCATCCTGCAGTGCCTGGTTGAGTCCCAGCTTCTCTACTTCCAATCCGGCTTCCTGACACGCACCCTAGGAGTAACTGGCTCCTTGATGCACCCATGGGAGGCCTTGGCTGAACTCTCTGCTTCTGATTTTATGCTGTCCCAGCCCTGGCTTTTATGGGCGTTTGGAAAGAGAACTATTAGACAGAAGACACCCCCCCACACACACACACTTTTATCTTTCAAGTAAAATGAAAATAAGTCAAAGTTTAAAAGAACAAGAACAGCAAAGTTAATGAGTGCATGGGCATTTTGTAGAACACTGTGAAAAGAATACATTTCTGACCTTTAGATAATTTGATGAGCAATAAATGGCTCATGCTGAAAGATGCATCTGAAAGCAGTAGGGAAAAAAATAATCAGTGCTTTAAAACTTCTTGCTACTTGAGCTACTTTGAAGACAGGTCAGGGGAAACGTTCCTTATGTTGATTGTACACTTGACAGTGAGTGAAAGGGAAATTGAGATGGTTGCGGTAGGGACTGATTCAATCAGGCTCAATATTCTGAATTAGTGGGTGCAACCCCAGCCAGGCTCATCCTCTGGAAACCCCCTGCTTGTCAGTCTCCCGTTGAGAAGTCGGTGTGAATCTGTTCCCCGGCAGATCCCGACTCCTGTGGCGTTACAATATCGCAGCACAGCCTGGCAGACGTGATCAAAACCCATGCAGCCATTTGACGCTTCATCCTTTGCCACACTTGCAGCTACCAAAGAAATGCTGGAGACAATTCCAGGGTAAATGGTGAGGCGAAACAGAATTTTTGTTTTATTTTAGATTTATTTATTTTTATTGAAAAGTCAGATATACAGAGAGGGGGAGAGAGAAAGGAAGACCTTCTGTCTGCTGATTCATTCCCCAAGTGGCCGCAACTGCTAGAGCTGAGCTGATCTGAAGTCGGGAACCAGGAGCTTCTTCTAGGTCTCACACATGGGTGCAGGGTCCTAAAGCTTTGGGCCGTCCTTGACTACTTTCCCAGGCCACAAGCAGGGAGCTGGATGGGAAGTGGAGCTGCTGGGATTAGAACCGGCACCCATATGGGATCCTGGTGTGTGCAAGGCAAGAACTTTAGCTTCTAGGCTACCGTACTGAGCCCGAAACCTGATCTTAATGCCTTATGGTGTTAGGTCCCAGGGATTAGCACCCCTCCCTGCCCCCATGTCACATGGTAGTCCAGGGTCAGAGAGTCCAAGGGCAAGGAGCCTGTCTGTGGACACGGATGCTGAAGGCTTGTGCCCCAACACCTGTCCAGCTGTTGTGGTTGGTGCTGAGCTTGCTCATGCTTTCTGGCTAGAGCCGAGGAACACAGTGGTGTTGTCGTCCGGCTTTAGCCTGCCCTCATGGGAAGAGGCAGGACAACCCCCCCGCCCCCCCCACAGGAGGAATGCCCTCTTCAGCCTTTTCCTTTGGATTCTGCAACCTAATAGCTATGGAGACTTACTTGAAATGTCAGCAAGGGACCCTTAGGCCATCCTTGAACATGAACTAGATTTTCTGTTTTCAGAAAAGGAAATGACAACATGCAGCTTCAGCACAGTGTCACAGGAGGTGGAGAGTGGTGAGCCAGGAGCCAGGACTATGGAGACCATGGTGTCTAACTTAGTCTAACATTAGAACCCAGAGCTGGAACTCACTGGAGGGAGTGGTACCACTGACTGCAAAGAGCCATGTACCAACCACAATAAGTAAAATTGAACTGTAGACCTGTGGGTGACACAGCTTAGAAACCTGCCCCAAGGAGAAGATTTTGCTAACCAGAGCTACAATGACCAAGAGCAAAAGAAGAGACAATGGCAAAATGAATTTTACTGAAGGCTCCCCTGCAAAGGAGCAAAACCCCATGCCAACCTCAGAGTTCACTGAGGAAGACATCAAGAAAATGGGGGATACAGAAATCAAAACACTTATAAAGCTTCTTATCAAGAAGGAGAAGCACGTAAAGCAGGCATTCAAGGAATTTAAGGAACATGTCACACAGGAAATGAATCAAACGAAAGCTGGTACATTAGAAATGAAGAATACAGTGGAGCAAATTAAAAGTACAGTGGAGAGTCTCCAAAATAGAATGAAGGAAGCAGAAGAAAGAATCTCAGAATTAGAAGTTATTTTCTGTCACCAGGGGGAAATAAACAAAAAGCTGGAAGCAGAGCTGGGTCAGGCTGAAAAAAGTATTCAAGAACTGAAAGACACTATTAAAAGGCATAATGTAAGAGTTATGGGAGCCCCAGAAGGTGCAGAAAGAGAAATTTGGATTAAAGGTGTATTTAGTGAAATAATAAGGGAAAATTTCCCTAATCTGGAGAAAGAATTGGGAAGCAACATCAAGGAAGGGCACAGAACTCCCAACAGAGTTGACCAAAAGCAATCTTCACCATGACACATGATAATCAAGCTCTCTTCAATCGAACATAAGGAAAAAATCCTTAAATGTGCATGTGAAAAAAAAAAAAGTTGACATATAGAGGAATGGCAATTAAATTCACAGCTGACCTCTCTCAGGAAATTCTACAGTCAGAAGAGAATGGAACGACATATTGCAGATTTTAAAAACAAAAATGATCAGTCCAGGATGACGTACCCAGCAAAGCTTTCCTTTGTCTCTGAAAATGACATAAAATTCTTCTACAGTAAAGTTACACGAATATGCCTCTTCTAAACCTGCCCTACAAATGATACTTCAAGATGTTCTCTTGACAGAGAAGAGGAATAGCTCCCACCAAAACCAAAGGCACATGAGAAGAACATCCCAGTAAAATAACAGAAGACTAAATCAATTAACTTCATTGCTAAAATGACAAGACCAAATTACCACCCATTCATATTAAACCTGAATGTAAATGATTAAACTCATGAATCAAATGTCATAGATTAGTAGACTGGCTTAAAAAAAGAAAACCCATCTATTTGTTGCCTACAGGAGACAGAGCTCACCAACAAAGATCAGCGGAAACTATATCTCATGAATTTTGATTTTTTTTTTTAGTTTCATCTCTTCAAAACACTTTCTTTCTCATTCAATTCTTTTCTGACTTATATGTCATACAGTAGCATCATTTTTTTTTTCAAGAAGGTTCTTGATTTCCTTTTTCATTTCCTCAATGTCACATTAGTCATTCAGTAGTATGTTATGTAACTTCACGGCATTAAATTTTTTTGCCTTCCTGTTGTTAATTTTGTTTTGCGGCTTTTCATTTAAGGGGATGTGTAGTAATTGTGTAATGGAGACTATTTCTGTATGTGAGGTTTTGCTTGCTGTTTGTCACCCTATATAGGAGAGCTATCAAGTACCCCGTGGCTAGGGACACTCACAAGCAAGGCCACATCCCTACAGTGCAAAGTGCAGCCCAGACTCTCATCTGCTTCCCCTGGCGCAACGTGTTCAGGCCTGTCCTTTAGGATTAGCCATTAATTGAAAGGAATTCCCTGAGTGGAGGGAGTGGTACAGCTTGCCCTGCAAGGTTCTAATCACCAGTCAAGAAATTTGCTTCCCTGCATGATAAGAGCCTGCTGGCCAGTGTTGTCCCAAGGGGCTTGTTCAGGAAAATTCCAAGTCTAGGGCAGAAAGTCACCAGGATCTGCAGACTTCCTAAAGCCCACTCGACCACCATCAAAATTCCCTGAAAGCCACGGCATCCCTGACCAAAGAAAGAACATAAAGCATCACTGACCAACCAGGAACTTGGACATGAGCCCAAAACGCCTTTCTCAGCCCCAATTTCAATCCATCAAAACCTTCATCCCTAACTCCTTGGAGAGCCCAGAAATTAAGTGATAGCTCCTCCCTCTGTGCTTATAAATAAATTCCTAACTTTTTCCACCAGCCCGACATCAGTGATGGGCTTTGTGAGCACTGGGCGGGCGGGTCCACGCTGGAGGTCCTACAGCAACACCCCACCACGGCAGCACCAGTTCAGGGAGAGACTCACAGTGGGGGAAGAGAAGGGACCTCAGGAAACAGAGCAGGTTCATGCTGTGTGCAGAGGGGCTGGCTTAAGAACTGGGCTGGTTCAGGTTAGGACTCTGAGATGGAGACACAGGGCTGAGCTGCGGCATGCATTTCCCCAACAATGCGTTTCCCTGAGAATGTGGGAAGGACTAGCTTTTTCAAAGAAACTGGGACCTGACAACTCTGAGTCTGAAAAGAGAAAGTGACGATGCCTACAGATGATCAGAAGAGCAAGTGACTAAAGCGTCAGCGTCAGCGAGCTGTTTTCCAGCTCCTTGCCTGAGGCTGCCTTTGCAAGACCCAGGAACCAGGCCCTGCACTGGCACCGCCACCTCCGCCCCTCCCCAAGCTGTGCTGCCGACTCCTCTGGGAGGTGTGAGAAACCCACATTTGCCACACATCACACTGGGGGAAAGCCGAGCCAGGCGGATCCCTGACATGGGGTGGCATCGGGACTTGACCTGCTGGGAAGAGAAAGCAACAAGCCAAGGGCAGGGTCTGGACGAGGCTCTGGCACTTGGAATTCAGGCGACACAAGAATGTGATGGAGGCAGTGAACCCTGACAGCCCAGCAGGAGCCACGCGGCAAGGTTGGCTGGGGACAAGCAAGCCTCGCGGGAGTGCTGTGCCCTCGGCATTGCACCTCCATCGTAGACATTGCCTCCTGGACACGGGGGCAGCGGGAGGCACAGCACTTAGGGAAGGACCGTCCCTTTGCATCTTTGCATATTCAGTAGGTCGGATGCTGATTGTTGCCACAGCACAAAGCAGGCGACACTTTCTCT